ACACCTGTGTCCCAGTCTCTGCACACCTGTGTCCCAGTCTCTGTACACCTGCGTCCCAGTCTCTGCACACCTGTGTCCCAGTCTGTGCACCTGTGCCCCAGTCGACTTAGGATCCTCTTGTTAACAAACACCTCCTGAGCCTACTTTGTGCCAGACTCTGTTCTGGCAGCTGGGGTTATAGACATGGACAGCATGGATCTGCCTTGTGAAGTACTGGGAGACAAGACGAGGAGGAAGATAACAGGTCTGGGAATGGTGTGTCACACTCACGAAGGAGAACGGTGCAGCGGATGGGAGGCTTAGGCCACACTCCATCCTGCTGTTGGCTTTGCGTCCAGTAGCTCATCCCATTTACACACAAGTCTTGTAAGGAGAGCACCGTTCTGAGTTCTGCCTAAAGCAAGCATTTGCTCGTGGGGTAGCCAGGGCAAACCATGCAGAAATACCAGCCCTGTGTTTCCTGGGAGCCTGTGTGTGGGCCGCGGGCTTGAAGTGGCATCTGTACCTCAGTCTGGAGGCGTACAGTCCCGCCATAGTGGAGAAGGCACAGCTGTGGCCAGCTGTGTGGCGGTAGGAGCGCGGACCCGCCTGCTCACATACAGATGAGGAGCACTGAACCAGAATTGCCGCCTGTCTGTAACCCTGAAGCCCCGCCTCTGGGCCCAAGGGCCTCTTGTCCCAGTGCCTTCCATTCCAGGACAGTGCTCCTGAGGCCGAGGGGTCAAACTCGTGAGCCCCTGAGGCATTTCACATTCAAACCTCAGCAGCCCACAGACCGCTCTAGGGAAGCTGTGCACACGAGGTCGAGCCAGGTTCTGGAGGTGACGCCACACCCGGAGGCCTGCGTGTGCCCTCACTGCAGACACGCCGGTTTGTGTTCGGTCTGCGTCTTCTGCACCCCGACACAGTGTACATGGGGAGGTCAGAGGGAAACTTTTGGGCATCTTCTCTGATCTCCGGGGATCTGACTTGGGTCATCATGCTTGACAGCAAACGCCTTTACCCTTGAGCTCTCTTGACAGCCCAGAAGATTTTATTTTAAACTCAGAATTTATATATGAAACATTTAAATTTAGAGCGCCATCCTACAGTGGGGACACAGGAGGACAGAGGTGAAGAGTTAAATTGATTCTGCCAGAGCTTTAATTAAATCCATTGTTGCAGTTAAAGTGAATTACACTTCAGTGGGTTTCATTAAACTTGTGGAACGCCAACCCTTGGACTTTAAGAGAACGCCAGGGGGCCGTGCTTATCCCGTCCACGCCACTCTGTGGTACCTGCGTTCACGTGTGACCATCGCGGTTTTCGTCCTCCAGTGAGGCGGTGAAGCCAGACACGGCGGCACATCGCCTGTGGTCCCGGGGCTTGGATTGTGGGGGCAGGAAGATCCAAAGTTCCGGGTCAGTTTGGGTTGCTTAGACGTGGTCTCACAAACTAGAGAAATGGGGGAAAGACCCTGGGAATTTCAGCCCAGGAGCCCACGTGGTGGACGGAGAGAACCAACTGCCCAGCTCGTCACAGGCTGTCCTCTGAGCTCTGCACGTGTGCCTTGACAGTCTCCTCTCTCTCTCTCTCTCTCTCTCTCTCTCTCTCTCTCTCTCTCTCTCTCTCTCACACACACACACACACACACACACATACACACACACATACACACACACACATAATGAATAGAATTAAATACTCAAAAAGAGAGAGAGTCGTGAGAAAGTACCAGAAGGCCGAGGATCTTGTGAAGCAGATGTCTGCCATGCCACCTCAGGCCGGTCACTTCACCTCAAGGACAAGATTAGGCTCTAGGTCCTAAAGTCTCCAGTCACTGGTCTCATTCTGTGAGGTGACCACCGTAACTGCTCCGTGAGGGAGCTTCGTGCCAGCCTCTTGTGTGTCTGTGTTGAGCTTCTAATCATCCTCTAGACTTGTAACACGTTCGGGAGTTCGAGTCCCACCGTGAACGAGGTCAGACATTTTCGGTGTGTAGCTGGGTCAGGGTCCTGGTCCAGTTCAGA